TGCTTGCATGACACCTTACAGGCGTGTGTGTGTGTGTGCGTAAGCGCGTACGTGTGTGTGCTTGCATGACACCTTACAGGCATGTGTGTGTGTAATCGCGTACGTGTGTGTGCGTGCATGACACCTTACAGGCGTGTGTGTGTGTAAGCACGTACGTGTGTGCTTGCATGACACTTTACAGGCGTGTGTGTGTGTAAGCGCGTACGTGTGTGTGCGTGCATGACACCTTACAGGCATGTGTGTGTGTGTAAGCGCGTACGTATGTGTGCTTGCATGACACCTTACAGGCGTGTGTGTGTGTAAGCGCGTACGTGTGTGTGCTTGCATGACACCTTACAGGCGTGTGTGTGTGTGTAAGCGCGTACGTGTGTGTGCTTGCATGACACCTTACAGGCGTGTGTGTGTGTAAGCACGTACGTGTGTGCTTGCATGACACTTTACAGGCGTGTGTGCGTAAGCGCGTGCGTGTGTGTGTGTGCGTGCGTGCGTGCGTGCGCGTGTGTGTGTGTGTGTGTGTGCGTGCATGACACCTCGCAGGCGTGTGGGTCAGAATCAGAATATCTATGTTCTGTCTCCACAGATTATTGGGCGCGTACAAGCCGACCCTGACTACCTGCCGAGGAAACATGACTTCAGTCTGAACGAAGAGGCCTTCCTATCTAAGTTCTGCAAGGATTGCCCCGCACCATTCTACAAGCTAGCGTTCAGTTGCTGTGGCCTAGATGCAGAGAAAAGGTAAGAGGTGGCGCTGTTTATGTTTCTTTGTGTCGTTGTCTTATTTTCATGTGGGGGTCGACTCGAAAGCCTAGTGCTACTTTGACCCTCACAGCACTGATTTGTTAGTAAGTTCACTATTCTTTTTTATTTATACTCTCACGTTATACCTATCATACACCTGCTGTATTGTAACTAATTTATGTGCTAAACAAAGAATCTGAATTTGAATCGTTGTTGATACCATATTGGTGTAAACTGTGGGTGGGGTGTAACCTCGGAAGTACCTGTTGATTAGTGAATTCCTGTGATGTTCCACTTCCTTTCTGTTGCTCTTTATCTCATCTCAACTACCTCGAGCGATGATTTATAAGATGATATTAATTAATTAATATATGATATATGATGATATTAAGCTGTCACCATTTTTCGGACATTTACTAACTGTCTTTGTGTCCCATAGGCCTCCATTTGAGAAATCTGCCGAGTGGGCGGAGGCCATCTTGGATAACCTTGAGAACGACATTCCGCTTCCATTGGAGCTCTGCTCGGAGCGACTGTCGTACGGTGGCCCGGACGACGCGAGCTCATTGGCTGCCAGTCCGGTCGCCGTGGCAACTCCCGCAAAAGCGTTGCATTGTATAGCCGAAGCGCACGGTGCGGCGTCGCCTGAAGATTGTGTCACGACCCGTGCATGCGGGCAGGACGGCGAGTCACCGTCGGTGTGATGACCGACAGCGATCTTACGGCGTTAAACCGTGTAGTTATGAATTTAGTCTGCGGCGTGTCTATGCCGAGGACAAATTTATGATCGCCACGTGCTGACGGGGCGTCAGTCTATGAAGCGTCGTCTGCCACGCTTCTCTGCCGACGATGACAGAAACTGCTGCGGCCGTGGCACGACTGTTACGCCACCTGCTGGACAGGGGGAGCGATATTGTGCGTGAATGCGGCAGGTAACGCCATAGTGCGGAACATGTTTGTAATCATGGGATCAACTTTTCTACACGTACCGATTCTGTATGTGTAGCATGAATCTTTGTTGAAGGTATATATTTTAGATGTGATTTCCACAGTACAAGCGCAAGTAATGTTTGAATCGAAACAGGTACGTGACTGGCTAACGTCAATTTGAACGCCTTTTCTCTTTTCCCTTTATTCGTCATTCGCTGAGTGAAAGGAGAACTGGAGTGACTTCACTGCCAAAGGTGGTGGCTTGTTACAACAGTATATTACCATCTGCATATCACAATGTATTATTTCCTATTGCATCAGCCAGTGTGTTGAGCTACTGAAGTGAATTATTCATGCATGAATTATGCATGATTTATATTGGGCGATTTGCCTTATGAAAACTGCCTTTTTTCATTAAGTGGGGTTCAGCTACTATATGGTAAATGTGTCTCCATGCCTACCTGACATTCAGTACACTTAGGTGACTGGCCATTCCATCGTATATATGTATGTATATATATATATATATATATATATATATATATATAC